GACACATTGAGCTCCATTGCCGCAACTGTTCGAGATCGTGTGGAGAAGACCGAGGGCAGCACAGTAAGAGATGTTGTGCGTCCGCTTGTACAGGGTCTTCCCCAGTCCACGCATGACAGGCTGCTAGAAGAGGCTTCCAACCACACAAAATATCCTGAGTTCGAGATTGATGCTGTTGGTTCGTTGGGCGTTGACCATTTCAGCAATGACACATCCAATTTTGGTGGTAGTCCCTATGACCTTGAGACCTTCATTGAATGGTTTGTGTCAAATGAGTTTGAAGAAAATGCAGCTTCCTCTCCCACAGCACAACCAGCGGAACACAGCACAGAACAGCATCTATCTGAGCCGAAGGAGCAGATGCAACAACCGCAGGAGGAAGAGCCACAGGCTGAGCAAACAGAGCAGATACCGCCACACAAGGAAGAGCCACAGCCTGAGCAAACTCAGCAGATACCACCTCAGGAGGAAAAGCCACAAACTGTGCAGATGGAGCAAATCCAACAACCACAAGAGGAGAAGCACAATGACAATGACTCGGACCAACGTCAAACCGAGTTTACACACCAGCAGCAGCAGCAGGTGCAGGAAGCAGGTGGTCAAGAGCCAGCGCAAGCAAATCAACAACCTCAAGAACATGATAGACCTGCTCCTCAAGAGCCACAACCACAAGCACATGAACAGGAACAAGACAAGAAACATAGCAAAGAGATTCAAATCAAAATGGATGAGTGAGATGATGGTGATGATGACCCCCCGTTGGATGGTGATGATGGTTGTTGCCAAGAAGGAGGTGAATCAGCTGCAGATGATGATGATCCTGTAGTTGATCATCCTGAGCCTGAGCCTCATGTAGATCCTTCTGGTCCTACATGTGAGACTAACGGCGCCGCCAAACCGTTGGCAATGCTTCAATCTCAAGCAGCCGATACTCATCGAACAAAGCTGGAAGTGGTTGGTTTTCTGTTATCAAAATCAAAATGTTCAAGCTAGGGCTCCAAATCCTGAAAGCCTGCTGCGTATAGTATATAGTATATAGTATATAGTATAGTATCTAGCAACATATAATATATATATATATACTATGTATTGATATATGAAGTGTAATGCGTGCTTGTATGTGTGCCATATGCTCAGGAGCAAGTGCATTGATGGCACACTTCCAAGAAGGATTGCACTTATGACCGCTTGCACGGGTAGTGAAATGTTTGAACTTGTCGCAAGAGCACTGGTGATGCAGCTGAACAGTGTTTTTTCCATGACTGTCATGAAGAAGATTTGAGCACAAGCACTTCTTTCATGTGCGAGATTGTGCCAAAGAAACAAGAATTCCTCCGGCATGTTGTTCTTCCAGTTCTTCAACTGTCAGAGGCCAGAGGCACAGTTTATCACTCAGCGTGTCACAGCACATCACTCAGTGCATTCATTCAGGCGATTGAGAAGGGAGTCAACATCGAGCCCGACTGTGATACGTGCTTGTTCGAGGACATCACAAAGCTGGGTAAGCCTGATGAGGGGAAGTGTGTTCTTCACAAGGCTGCATGCGCGCCAGACTTAGTCATCAGGGCAAGTTTAGGTGTCAAAGAGATTTAATCAAATGGCATGGGTTCAAGTTGATTAAGTCTGACTCAGGCATTGCCCTCTGAATCTGATTTTGATTCGGATACGCTCACTATGTTTGGCGCAGGATTCTCTTGCAAGCAGCCTGGCAACACTATGGCATCGAATCATACACGCTTACACTGTGGGGCAACTGTAGTAGGTTAGGCCCGGCTAGATTAGGTTAGGTACTGCGAATTGCTCCTGTAAGGTCCTTCAGCAAAATGCACCCACAGTTCAAGGCGTTGAAATCAGCTATGAAGAATGGCAAGGACACTGGATGCAAAAGCTCACCACTGCACTCTGTGAATGTTTTTGTGAGGAATGTACATCAATAGCCACTTTCCGTGGAGTCCGAACTATCTTGGAACAGTGCAAGCCGGAGATTGCAATTCTAGAGAACGTCGACAGTATGGACACACAGGATGATGACAAGCAATCGCCCGAACCCAAGTACAACAACCAACTAACTAACTACAGCAAACCGACAAACAAATTACAGTATCTAACATCTAACTAACTAAACTAAACTCTAAGACTCTAAAAACTAAACACTTAAAACTTAGACTTAGTCTTAGAGTCAGACTCCGACTTGACTTAAAACTTAAAACTTTAAAACTTGTACAGCAAATCTGTTTCAACTGTTTGCCCAGGACCAATTTGGAGGTTGCTATCAGTCAGTTGCAAGAGCTTGGGTATACGGTCCATGCAGAAAAACTCAAGAGTTCCGACTATGGGCTGCCTCAGCGCAGGAACCGCGTCTATATCATTTGCCTGCGTGATGCTTTTGCAGAGCCACCAAATCAATTGATGGCCCGCATATCAGAACGCATCCGCCTTTTGCAGCGCCCAATCAAACCCCTGGTCATTGCCTTATCACTAGTCAGAGTCAAAACCGCACATTGTTGAGGCCTTGGTGCTAGGAACAAAATTCTAACATATGTTCTACCTTAACCTCGACGCAGCTTAGGCAGACTTCCTTTTGCCACCAAACGATCCAGAAGTCAAGGCAGAGTTGGCGAGACGAGATAGCAAGAAACGTGACACTGATGGGGCAGCAGAACGTTGGACAGAATCTCATTCGACGCTGGCAGAGCAATGTAGCTTGGTGACATCTTCACATGCAAGTGCAGATTAGTTATATACTACTATATACACTAGTCACTATACTATACGCTATAGTCACTATATACACTATTCAATTCAAATTGAGCTAAGATGGTGTGCAATGGCCGCTGCAGCCAAGTGAAGCATTGGCTGCATCAGAATGGTTCAAAATTCTTCCACCACGGGAGCAAGAGGTCTGGTGTCTTGTCACTTGTGCTGTCATGCTGAGGCTGTGAGTCACTGTTTGCGAAGTCTTCGTTGATGGTTCAAGTTCAGTTCAAGTTAATTTCCTGTTGGCCTTCTGCGCAGGTCTTATGCTTCATTGAAGTGATGAACCGCGGGAAAAGCGAGCGTCAATCCATTGCCTTTGCTGACATCAGCCAGTCAGTATCGCGCGTACCAACAAGCACAGGTGAATCTCAGGCAGGGTTCTCCTCTCTCTCTTTCTTTCTACATTCAAGTAAGTCTGCTTTACTTGTTCTTTTTTTTAGACTCAGACTCTTCTACCCCTAGGCCCTAGAGCCTAAATCTAGAATCTAAAGTGTCACGTGTCTAGGCTCTTAGAGTCTAGAGTCTAAAGTATAGTGACTAGAGTCACACCAGACTCATATGTCCCTGCTTGTGAGGTTCTGCCAACGATCATGCCTGGGTGTAAAATGTGGGATGTAAAGCAAAAGCGGCTTCTGCTAGGTCAGCGGCCCAGCCAAACAACATGTCGGTTGGCTGGTGATCGAATACAACAAGGCATCAACAAAGTTGGAGAGTGGGAGTCTGAAGCACCAAGGCTCGGAACTTCTTAGCGTTCAGGGACTTTTCCTTTCTGATTTGGGCATTGATATTGGCAGTGGTCGCAAGCCATATCAGCCGAGCGAGAGTCAGATTCAAGATCTGGCAGGGAACTCGTTTCTTGTTGTGTGTTTGTTTTGCTATTAATCTAATCTATCTATTGTTTGTTGTTATTGTTTATCTTTCTCTTTCGGTTGACTTCATATCGTCTGAGTCTGAATCTATGTCATGTCATATTGTTTGGCCATCATTTATGTACATATTATACACTATACACTGTATACACCGTATTCTGTTTGTATATGTCCGCGTGCAAGGTTCTCTTCTGCGTGCATCATGGCTACTATTCTTGGCGTGTTGAGCACTAGTTCGGATTGAGACCCAGTCTGAAGTGGAAGAGCAAGATATGTTGTTCAACCCACTCAGACATTGGCGCACTCCGGCCAGTTAGATTTCAATCGATCCCGCCAAAAGCAGCGGATAAAGAAGTGTAAAGTTGAAACCTTTGTGAGCTGAGACTGACACTGGCAGCCCTTTGGGTATGTGGAACCAGTGTGAACAGCAGGGAGTGAGCAGGAAAAACGGGCTGTCTGATTCTATTGAAGTGATGTCCGTTGTTTTTGTTTGCATGCAAAAACTTTTTAAACTAAAGAATCACGGTGTACTATGTACCATTGCGCCACACTGTACCATACCATCCCGTACCGCACTGCCTACTCGTACCATAGCCCTGTAACACTGTACCTACCGTACCGCCCCATACATTACTACTGTACTGTACCTTACCGTACCGTACCATACATCCGTACCTACCGCTCGTACCTTGGTAAGCTCTTACACCGTACCATCTGGACCATACCCCGGTGCAAGCAATAGAGCATATCTCTTGAAAATAGCTAAGGTATGTATCATTCAATTTTGTTTTGACCAGGGCATTCTTTGCATCACGGTCAGCCATTGTCATTGGCCACAGTCATCCACGTGGGATGGAAACGCAGAAAAAATAGGACAGTACTTGGTGAATACCAGGATTACTACTGCAGGTTCTAGTTTAATTTGTTTGGTTGTCAGGCATGTATTTCTGTGAACGACTCGGTTACAATACCTAGGGCAGCCATAAAGAATCATAAAGACATATAGACCTTCCACCCACCATAGCCTGAGCCTGCATTGGGTGCATGGCTGGTCAAGGCGTGCGAATGTCCATTCTGTATCATAGTATGCAAAACCAGTTCAGAATCGTGTTTCTCAAACACCTTGCGCATATTGACCAGCCCTTGCGTACAGAGGGGTACGCACAGTATGTATGATTTATGCAAACAAAACCTAATTATGTAACACAATCCTTTATATATATATATATCCTTTATGCTTCAGATAGCGGGAGGTGCTGGTGAATCCAAATCATTGTCAATCCTAGACCATTTAAAATTTTGCATGTGTCGTTATAGGAGGAACTTGCTTTGACGTCATTAGGGGGAACATATGCATCGCACGCATGCACTGAGGATATTAGCTTCAATTCTGCGACAATTGCATGTGAAAAAGCTGGCGCATGGCAGGCCACTAGCATGTGGGCAATATTAACACCAAACAGTTTCAATTGCGGCTAGCATTCGCTCGCCTTGAAATGGCGAGCCGTGGAGATAATTAGTTCGCAATTTTGAGTTGCTGGAGGGAGGTTGGTTGGTGGCAGCAGTGGGAAAGGGTGACATCTATACCTCAGTGCACTTGGATAAATCAATGTGCCACGGTTGCATCACTGCAGACGATCGCAGTTGAAGAATTGTCATAATGCAACTTTTTTTTGCACACGCTTCATGCAGGGGGCGCCTCTAACATACCGCATCCAAGACCCACCCAAAGATACGAGGGATGTCATTTCCGCAATTTGATTGAATTCAAAACGAGTGCGTGACTAGCCGAATGTTTGGTGGCCTTGTTGAAATGCTGCTTCGTGCAAACCCCCTTTGGGCTTCACATTTCGGAAGGCAACGTTGGACATCCTGGAGCTCATGCTGAAGGTTCAAATCCTACCAGATGCCGTGTTCGCAGGACCTCCCAAAGTAAGCCGCAGCCAAGTTTTGCATGCAATGCACTTGCGTATGATTCTTTTCTTAAACTGAGAGGCTCCGCGACAAGCGCTTTTAGGGCTGCGCTTGGCAACTTGGCGGCTACATAAAACACATTGAGAAAAGGCACCTTTAGACTGACTCATTATCAATGACGCACCATGCTGGCACGGTAGACTTATGTTGCCAGCGTGCACCGGTATTCTGAACATGCTTTGTGCGAGGAAATCCATTACAGAAAACCACATTGTTTTGCGCCTGTGCTGACAACAACGCAACGCCAACAAACACGACGGCTTGCCACGGAAGATCGCGGGAAGATTAATGTTTGCCGGGTGGCTGAAGTTCGTTTCTGTTGGGGGGAAATACTATACTAAAATCACTGCGGCAGAAGCTGCTGGCTGTAACATGTTATGGCCAGACCCAGGCCAAGGCCACTTGACATTGCAGCAACTTACTCCACGGCCACGGTAGATTATGGTATATGGATTATAGATTATGCAATGGAGGACTTCTAGGCCGGCCAAGGTTTTTCTCGAATAAATCAAGATGCAAGAATTTGAGTTAATTAGCTTGAATCAGGGAATCCATGGGAATCACTCGCAAACAGCCCAAAAGACATGACATAAGAAGGATTCGCAGCTGGGACCCGTGGTGTGCCACTATATCATACTATTATCATACTATATATATATATATATGTATCCAGGTCCGGCCAAAGCGATGATTCTTCTTCGGTCACTACGACCTTTTTGGCAGAGATGCAATGCACGAGGACCGCAGAGCAAGGCACATATTCAAGTTGCAATGATTCAAGTTGTTTATGCAGAAATTGCTCTTATGTGCTTGTGTCACATGTCAACACTTGCCAACTCTTCTCCATACTCTCTGAAATACTGTCCAACGGATGATTGCCATTTGGCTGGGCCAAGAAGGTGGTTCGATCATAGTTTTCCCCTCTCCCGTGGCAAACGATGGATGGAGTTTGGACAGAATGATTCCCACCAAGACCATTCCAGGAAGTTTGGCCTAGGAATTGCTGGGATTCAAAGGAAAGGACAAGGGATTCACAGTGGGAGACGCATTCCACCCCCGGAACATTTCAAGGATTTGGATTATTGTGCCAGCACTTTCTATCATTCCGACAGTTTATAAAACGGTATCTAACATTTTGTGTGAGTCACGTCGCCATCTAAAATCAAGCCTTGACTAGATATTGAAAGGCTTTCAGCGGCACCAATCCTGATTGTTGAAGATTGCAGTTTCAACTGTGCCGCACCGATTAGTAGCCGACTGCAAGGTGAGCAGACTCGTGCCTTGTTCCCAGCTTCGCTCCCACGGTGTCACATCCCGGCCCATTCCAAATTCCAATATATGGGAATGTTGTTCATGTCCGTGCTGGTGACAGGGTGGAGTGGCGGGGGAGAAGGCTAGGAAACACTGAATGCAAGAGGCTTTAGCGACAAGCTCTGGCGTGATCGCCATATCAAAGCCTGCCGGGGCCAAAGCCTTAGATCGCAAGGAGTTTGGAAGGTAAGCGCCTTTTGAGTTTTGAGTGCAGCAGTTGCAAGATTAGAGTCCAGTCTTATCGAATCTTTGGACCTGTCGGCAAGGTCACGACCGAAGATCTTGTGGAAGCTTTGCAAGAGCAATGTCAGCCCCACGGTAGCCTGCGTATTGTATCAAGGCAGGAGATCTAGGATCGGCGAAGTTGTTCTTTCAGATTCCAAGCAAAATTGGATAATGCAAAAGATGGGTAAAAGACATTGGAAGACAGGTTTCATGCCATATCTGCACTTTAAATGTATTATATATAATATATATATATATCAAATATTATTACAGAAATTATATTCTTCATTCCTATTTCCGATGTTGTGGCCCTCTTCTTGTTGCATCAAGATGCATCAAGAAGGCTGGACCATCCTACTTCTGGAGTCCTTCCTTTGGCAGTGGGCATCGAAGGATCCATGGAAGCGAATTGGCTACGTGCTCAGTTTGCCGGGCGTTTGGTCTCCAAGGAATACCTCTGTCTTTGTGAAGGTGCACCCTTTGGAGCACGTGGCACTATCAATGCACCGTTGTTGACAAAAGAAGTGGATGGAGTGAGCCGCAGTGAGGTCTCTGAAAGCTTCGGACGCGAGGCAGTCACAGAATATGCGGTGTTGAAGAGATACAATGTCCGCGCACCGAGGAATTGCCCTGAAGAATATGAAGCAATGCTCCTCTCAGTGAAACCTTTGACTGGAAGGACTCATCAGATTAGAGTGCATTTGGCAAGTGTTGGTCGACCTTTAGCTGGTGATTTGACTTATGGCCGCAAGCACCGATCCATTCTGAACTGTCCCCGGCTTTTTCTGCATTGCTGTCGTATACAGCTGATGGACATCAATGACGAGGTATTCTCAGCAGAAGCCACATTGCCCAGCGAGTTGATGGATGTACTTGAGGCTCTACAGCCATTCAGAGTTGGATGAAAGTTGAGTCGCTGAAAGGGTTCTTTGACAATTGTTGGTTTTGGTTTCTTATCGATCCTTGCAACAAGCACCTCTTTGAATTGAATCCTGGTCATTGTATATACCAGTCTTGAGCCTGAGAACAAACCGCACATATCCGCAAGTTCGGCCCTTAAGATTAGGCGGGAGCGAGATGCTCGCTATTGCAGCAAGGTGCTTTGTGGGAAGTACAGTTGTTGGCAAGCCCGTGCTTTTTCCACATCATGGATCTAATTCTTGCGCTCATGCAGATGATGGCTCCACGTGCACGACTGGAATATATTGACAACTGCATATCAACGAATGGCGTTGGAAGTGTTGGCAAAGTTGTGCAGAGCTCCTGCAGAGCCTTGCGCAGGGCAGAGAATGGCCAGCTGGAAAGTCCAGGGGCCCACAGTCACCATCACCCACACTACAGATCTACTTTTAGGATCTTTTAGGAGATATTTGGGTCGCCAGTTGCCGTTGAAATTGACAGCAGCTCATGAAAGCAACTGATGCATGCCAATTCACTAGTTGGCTAGTTGGAGGTATTACAGTATGTGGTGTTTCATGTTTCACTTGCGCAGGCATTGCCAAGCAAAAAGGCTTGACTGTCTACAACAGATTTAAAGGTTGTGCGACTGGACCAAATCAAGGGTTCGATGCCAATGGCCGGTAGAGGGAACGTAACATCATACAACTTGCACTTTGTTGCAGTGCTTTGCGGCATTTCTATTATTGGCACATGGTGGGTCTAGCGTCCACATGCTGTTGCATGACTCCGACTTTTTCTGGCTACAAGTTGAACGCCAGATGCGGAATAAAGCTATGGAGCAAATGTAGCATAGCATGGGATGGACATCCTACTGCCAGTGTTGGGAGCACAGGACGAGCAACAAAAACATGAGCAGCAAGCAAATGCGGGCATCGTTTGTGCTCCACAGGTAGGTCTGGCTGCCAGTGCCATGGCTCAAAGCATGCCCGACAGGCCAGTTCTGTCTCCGGTGGCACCAGACCTGCGGGAACGCTTTTCTGCGTTATTTGCAAACCTGGCTCGGGAGGAGGACGCACTCAAGAATGTACTGTCACAAAATGAGCTGATGGAAAAACAGCTTCAGGCGGTTCGACGCTCCCGCAGCTTGGCGTGACTTGAGGAGTGTAGGTCGAGACCTTGGACGCCTCCTCCGTCAAAACAGGGTTTGCAGCATTTGCATGTTTGACGGAACTATGTGACAGAAATCGTACTACTTCTGGACCTACACACAACTGATCAGCCCTAGCTGGATGCTACCGACGAACTAAGGCAGGTTGCCGCCAGCTTTCGACCATGAAGTGGCTGATTTGAGGCAAGAAGCCTTGGTAGCCGAACAACGATGCGCTCTAGAGAGTGGTGAGGCTGGAGCGCTGGCGGCTGCTTCAGCAACCTATGAGCGACAATGTGCGCGACTTCAGGAGGGCCGCGCCGCAGCAATGTAGCCGGAGTATATACATGCGTTTTCCAAGAATGTTGTTTGTTTTTCTGTTTAGTTCGCCTGATTGGGCCTAGACACAGGAAAACATGCTAAGCTTTTCAAGAAGATCAGGAGATCAAACGAGGGAACATTCAAGATGTTCCTACCAGCATCCATAGTCCACAATGACTGTTTTGAGAGCGGTCTGTCGATGACAAGTGGGGCATCGCATGCACTATCCACCTGGTACTCACATTTGTTGAGCCCCAGTTGTGACTTTGTGATGTATCTCAGCTGCTTTGTGCAGGAGCGTTGCCAAGCTGAAGCTAGCCAAGAGCGTGCAGCAACAGAGTCTTTGGGCAAAAATGCATCTGACGCCCGTCCCAATTGTTGACAGCTTTGTAGCTGTAAGGCATCAAGGCAGCACAATTAAGATCAACAACTGTAGATGGTATATTGCAGTGACCCTTGCTCAGGAAATGCATAATCTGAAGGCGGAATGCCATGAGTTGAGCTCACAACTGGAAGGAATGGAAGCACACCGCCAGAAGGTGCTTCGCGATTTTCAACAACTCCAAGAGGCTTCCAGACGAACGGCTCCTTGGCTTAGCAGCAAGTGCACAGTATAATGTAAATATGTTTTGCATTATTGGGATTTGACGGAAACTCTGAGCGTGGTGCCAAGATGTTGAGCAAGGGGCACATTGGAGTTTGCTCGCTTCTTGTTGCTTTGGTGTCCTTTATGAATTTCGGGGAGTCAAAGCAGCTAGATGAACATTTCTCGCGCTCATGAGAGCGACCAACACACATAGACATACATACCAACCTCCCACGAGCCCACACCAAGCCCTGCGTGCAATCTCACTCCTTACAAGTGACGCCTAGCGCAGCATCAAGATAAGCTTTGTTATGCCTGCTTGTTCCATAGTTAAGTTATGTCTAATTGCTGTATTGAGTCACCATGCTTTCCTCAACACACTGTGGCACACCGTGCCTCGCTACATTTCTCTAGCACAGAGCACGGCGCAGTAAGCCGGGGGCAAGCCAGAGGCGATGAAACATGATTGGGCGAGTCAGGTGAGGTAGACGGTTGAACAGCTCTTAAGCGATACAAAGTGAGCCAAAGTGCGCTGGAACGAACTGTCGAGAAAGGTTGTCAAATGTTTGGAGCAAAGATTGAACGGCACTTGATTCTGAAGATGTTTTGGAGCGATGTTTGAAGTTCATGCTCGGACTTTGTGCAGCAGGATTGAGATCCAGTGACGCTGTCAATGTTGCAATTAGACTGCCATGTCACAAGCCTTGGCTTCTCTATCCAGATTGACATTTGAGGCCACAAAATCCAAAGAAGTTCAAGGACAAGTGCTCGAGCAAAAGGCCAAAGCTCAGAAATTGCAAGAAGAGGTGGGCTTGGTCTGAGATTTGTGCACAGTACAGGTTGGCAAGACATTGTAGCATTGTAGACTGGATCTTGACATGAGAGCAGTTGGTCCCAAAGGGTTGGCATGGAGTGTTTGGGGGAGCGTCCTTGCTCCTAGTAGCGACGCCCTTTGCTACTAGTAGCTTCTTGTTACTAGTAGCTATTTGCTCCTAGTAGTAAGGCCAGGAGCCCCTAGTAGCGTCCTTGCTCCTAGATATGTTTCTCACAGAGAGCTCGCCGCGAGGCGGCTCGGGATATGCAAGAGTTAGCTGCTTTAGACAAGCTGGTAGACTCGAAGAAGACTGATGTGGAGTATTCCAAGCGCTGGCTGGCTGAAGAACGAGAAGCTGAGCGGGATTTTTTTAGTTTAGCGGTTGGGCGAATGCTCCAGCTTCCTTGGCACTCTTGGAAGGCCTTGTGCGGTTTTATATCTTGGATGTGCATTTGTTTGCATAGTGCAGTGTTTTTATTTTAAATTATAGGTTGTATGGTATTTTTTTAGACTTGTTTTTTGTATGTTTTGCATTTGCGGCTTGTTTGTTTTTGCTGCTTTTCTGCTTTGTGTGTGTGCCTTGGCTTTTGTTTGTGTTTGTTGTTCTTTGCTTTTAGTGCGAGCCTTTGCTTTGTTTCCTCCACTTGCAGCGCCTGTCATGAAAACTGATTTGGTTGACATGTCGACCATGCTGTACTGCACCAACAACTACTACAGCTGATAATGTACGAAATCTGGTTACGTAGCTGACTCATCATTGCTCCCTACTGCTTCCTTTGCTGCAGGTAGGCTGGCATCCAAAGCAAGCCTGTCTTTACAACTTAAGGGTCCCAGACTCTTTTGGGAGCGGGGTTGCTTGAGGATGCTGTGCCTGCCATGAAGACAGGTATAACTACAGATGTTCAAGTGCACTCCCTACTTTTGCACTCAGGATCGAATTCTGTGGAGGAAAGAGCCACTCCAACGTAGCATACCTGTTGTGGGCCAGCTGAGGGCAAAATTTGGATCAGGAAGGGAATCATTCTGAGGGACAATTAGAGGAGGAAGGAACCATTCCACAGTAGCATAGCTTTTGTGAGCCGACCAACACAGTAAAGTTAGGAGCAATGAGCTATTCCAACGTAGCTTAGCTTCTGTGAGCTGGGGGACATCAGCTGCGGATGTAAAGGGTGTGCAATTGCCATAGGTCGACATGCACGTCAAGAGAGTGTGTCCGAAAGTCTTGGTTCAGAAAGAGGCCCTCTTGAGTTCGTTCACGTGACCGCTTTAGCCGTCACCTTTTAGCCATACGTTGGTCCTCACGGTGCACTACGACTTGAGCATTCTGAGCTACCATAGAAAGCCCGCTGACCACTTGCATGGTAGTGGAGCCCTACGGGGCTTGAGAGAAAAGAGATCAGTCAGACTCCGCCAGGCCGAGTTTGATCGAAGTGGTCATGGGAGAAGGGATCAACCGCTCAAAAGATGGCGTCCCGCAGTGGGACGGAGACTCACGCTCCTTTCAGGAGTATGAAGAGATGGCACTCCAATGGGAACAAGGGATTCCCATTCACAAGAGATACCTATGTGGTCCTCGCCTTCAAGGTGAACTGTCTGGCATAGCACGAAAGTATGTGGTGGGCAAACGCCATGATTGGCTCTCCTATGCAGGTGGTGTCGAACATCTTCTACGGCACCTTCGCTCCAGCTTGGGAAGACCTCAATTGCCAGAACTGTCGGAGTACCTGACCAAGTACTTCCGACAAAGCAGACGCCACAAAGGAGAGACCATGAACTCCTACATAGTTCGGAAAAGCGAACTATACAACCGAGCCAAACAAGCCCTGTCCCGAGTCCATCAGGACCATCGAGTGACCAACCAGACCAGGTCACACCGGGGCAGCAACACACCAGCAGAAGCATACACATGGCACCAAGCCCGGCATTCCAGGTGGCAAGCATGGGAGACCGCCTCGGCACCCTCGGCCTCACAGGCTGACACCGCTGAGCAGCAACCAGAACCAAGCGCCGATCACCACAGTGACGAAGCTTTCTATGATGCCTCCGAGGGTGGCTTTGACCCATGGAGGAACTATGGATGGCATCAGTCATCCGACGCTTGGTCCAACTCATGGAGAACAGCTCAACCATATGAAGAAGATGAACCATGGACCCAGCAGACCACAGAGCTCTTGCCAGATTACCTCCAAGGCTGGTATCTCCTGCATGACGCAGGATTAGACAGCCATGAACGGAACTTGATCCAGACGGCTGTGGGCTCAGACTTCAGCACCATCCGCATTGCACAAGAATTGCGGGCTCTGAAGACGAACTCATCAAGCGAGATCAAGCCCACAAGCACTCCAGTTTCTGGAATCAAGATGAAGGATCCGGTGGAGAAGACACCGAAGGACACGAAGGATGGACCTCAGCCTCATTGGCCAATGAAGGCATGAACGATGAAGGTATCGCTCTCATGGCTTCAGCAGTTGAAGCGGAAGAAGAAGCAATGGCAGCCTTACAACAGGCTAGACGAACCTTGAAAGAAGCCAGAGCCAAGCAACATCAGGTAAAAATGAGCCGCCAATACTACAAGGTGAGCACCGAGAAGGCCAAGTTCACTGGTGATGGGGGAGGAAAAGCTGGCATCAAGTGTTTTAGGTGCGGGGGCCCGCACAAGATCGCACAATGTCCAGATCGATCAGCTCCTTCAAGAAGTGAACAAAGTCATGTGGCCACAGAAGAGGCACCTTTTGTGTGCTTCGCAAAAGAGGACCTGACGACCGTCACGATGTTTGCTGAAGAGGCCATGCTGGCTGACCAGCGAGGACGACGAGTGAAAAGCACCGAACAAGCCATTCGTGAAGGCTATGGCATCGTGGACGGAGGAGCCACGAAAACACTCGGATC